CCGTAGCGCGCGAAGCGGCCGCCCGGCGCGTCGCCGCCGAGCGCGCCCGGCGGCGACCGGCCGAGGTAGCGCTCGGGGTCGTAGGCGCCGTTGTTTTTGTTGTTGCGCTGGCCGCTGTGGTGCTGGACGACGCGCGCCTCGCCGCGCGCGGCCGCGGCGACCTTGAGGCTCGGGAGGAGGAGCTTCGTGAGCAGGACGTGCGCCAAGACGGAGACCTGCGCCGTCGCGTCGTAGCCGTCCTGGCTCCGCACGTCCGCGCCGGAAAACAGGCCCGCGTTGCAGACGAGCACGTCGATGCCGCCGGGCGCGAGCGCCGCGACGTCGCCCGCGGCCGCCTTGACGCTCTCGAGCGAGAGGAACTCGGCGTCGACGGCGTGCACCGCGGTCGCGCCGCCGACGCTCTCGGAGAGCTCGTCGAGGCGGTCCCAGGCGAGCGCGGACCGCGGCGAGTCGCGATTCACGCAGATGAGCAGAGCGGCTCTTTTGAGCACCGCCGCGCGCGCGACCTGGAGGCCCAGGCCGCTGGTCGTGCCGGTGACGCAGACGCACTTGCCTTCCAGCGACGGCAGCGAGTCGAGCACCGTCGCGAAGACGCCGGCGCCGTCGTCGGGGTCGTCCCCGCGCGGGTCCGTCACGCCCGGCGCGACCTCCGGCGCGAGCGCCGCGTAGAGGGGCACGAGCGCGAGGAGCGACGCGCCGGCGAGTTGCAGCGCCTTCGACCGGCACCGCAGGCACGCCGCGGCGGCGGCGACGGCCGCGGCGCCGTAGACGCGCGGCGTCGTGAGCACGGGCATGGCGGCGCCGAAGGGCTGCCCCGCGCCGAAGGGCTGGCCGAACGGCCGCTCCCGAACGCCGAAGAGGCTGGCTCTTGAACGCCGAAGAGGCTGGCCACAGGGCCGGCACCCGCGTCGGGGGGTCGCCTTCCGCGACGCCCCAATGGCGGCGACTCGGCCGGCGGACTCGTAGGGTAGTCCGTGGGGGCTGCTGGGGTCATGCGCCGAGGTGGCCGGCTCGGAATCGAGGCCATGGCGTCGCCGCGCGCGCGCGAATGCGAGCTTCCCATTGGTCGATTCGAACTGAGCTGATGTTGCACTCGACT